TGGTGGGACTGTAAATTAGTACAACCACTTTGGAAAACAATTTGGAGGTTTCTCAAACAGCTACAGATAGATCTTCCATATGATCCAGCAATCCCTCTTCTGGGTATATATCCAGAGGAATGGAAATCATGTCGAGAGTTACCTGCACTCCCATCTTTATTGCAGCTCTGTTTACAATAGCCAAGATATGGAACCAACCTAAGTGTCCATCAATAGATGATTGGATAAGGAAACTGTGGTATATATACACTATGGAATACTACTCTGCCAGAAAAAAGAATGAAATACTTTGCAACATGGATGAACCTGGAGAAATTTATGTTGAGAGAAACAAGCAAAGNTGAAATGGTTGTCTTTTCTTCCATCTATAACCCAGCCAATCTGCGTTCTATGCTGCATCTACAGCTTATTAAATACACTTCCTTGGATGGGGTTCGAGATGAGTGCTCTGTATATTAAACTGTGCTCTGTAAGATACTCTGTAAGTTCTAACACATGACTTCTTTTAAATGAAGAACTAAGCATTCAAAACATGGTTTAGTATTTGCTCCATCATCGGTAACCTTAATAATATCATGAATGTTCCTTGAACTTAATCAAGGGTTCAAAGTAAGAACTGATTGGCTGCTCCTAGATCTACCAAGATGAATTGCNGAAACAAGCAAAGCACAGAGGGATAAACACCGCATGTGCTCACTCTTATGAGGGAGCTAAGAGGGAAAGGAAGGTAGGAAAGAAAGACCACAGCAGTGCCGTGATCCAACAAAGGGAGGGAACATTCCTAGGGCTACAAATTGGAGTGGAGGGGAGAAGAGGAGGGTGAGGGAGGTTGGGGGATAATTGGGAGGGGACAAAGGGTACAAAAGTAATTTCTGGTAATGGGTATGCCCCCAGTATGAATCTGGCCCTCACATCACAGGCAGGGGGGCGGGGGACAATCATCTTTGTATCTCATGAATATTCATAATAAATAAATTAAAAGAAAAATTTAAAAATAAATAAACACAATTTTGACTACACACTCCCTCATCAAATTTCAGCTTCACAAAAGACAATGAGTAACTTCTTGTACATCCTCAACAGTGCCTCAACTAACAACATTGAACTCTAATGGGAAATGTGAGGAATTCTTAAAGATAAATAGTACCTAGACACTCTTCTTCAATACTTTCTCTTTATAAAAATCATATAATTTTTGTCATCAAACATAAAACTGAGTGGCAGCAACCCCACAATGAAGAGAAAATCGAGCCAGGTTATTTACTTAGTACCATTTTCTCCTAGCCAAAACCTGAAAGATATTCTTAGGGCTCCCCTTTTTGCTTGTCAAATCAATCTATTACCCACTCTCCTACTGATTCTAACCCTCTATCCAGCTGCACAGACATTACTGTGGGCAAGTACTCACCCCGTAGACTCATCTGGTATACTAGAATCATGAAATG